AGAAGGTGGTATACCACAGAGTTCCTGAAGATACTTTTACCCCAGCCCAAGATTATTTATTTAATTAGTAATTAATTTTTGCTTTTTGAGGTAGGGTGTCCCTATGCAGTTCAGGCTGGCTTTGAGCTCATTTTGTAGCCCAGGCTGGTCTTGAACTTGCAATGATCTTCTTGCCTCAGCCTCCCAAGTGCTGGGATTACAGTTCACCATCATTCCCAGCTATTTTTGCATTTTGAGGAAAGGGTCTCACTATGTAGTTCAGGCTGGTCCTGGTCTCGCAGTGTAGCCCAGGCTGGCCTTGGGTTCATGGCAATCCTGTCTCAACTTCCTGAATGCTGGGATCACAAATGTTTGTTATCACGCCCAACTAATAATTTGTGTTCTTAAAGAAGCAAATGAAAGATGTAAAAGAGCAGGAGAAAAGCTTTGTAGGTCTAAAATATTATGTAGGTGAGAGACACTGAGCTTGTACTCTTAGAAAAATATGAGGTAACTTTCTTTTTTTCTTTTTTTGCGGAACCGGGGATTGAACACAGGCCCTGTGCTTGCCAGGGAAGCACTTATTCCACTGAGCCATCTCCCCGGCCTGTTTCTTTTTTTTTTCCTCCCCATTTATTTATTTATTTATTTTTGAGGTGACTTTCTTTAACGTACACTAGGACTTGGTGGGGTGGTTAGGGCAGTGGGCAAAGCCCTCAGGTTGATTCCCCAGTATCTGGAAAAAGAAAATGTAAGGGAATGATTACAGAGTAAGGAACCTGTGCTCTGGAGTCTGTTGTAGACTACTTTAAAAATGCAATCCTAGGCGCAAACTTTGTAATAAGTGTTGTTAGCTTATAATGTGTTTTAGGGCAACACTTGCAAAATCGTCTGTATAGAGTTACTATAAGCGAGCAGTGTGTCTGGGATTGGTTCTCCCTTCTGAGTCTTTTATAGCCTCCTTGCTAGGGACTTTTAAATAAAAGTAACCCAACTGAAAGCTTCATTCATTGAGACTTACTGTCATTATTTGGGTGTGTTTTAAAGAAAGCAGTTAAACAGGTAGAACTAAGTCATCAGCTTGTTGACAGTGTAGATTTCAAATCTGTAATGGTTTATCTAGATTTTCAACTTTGAAGGTTACCTCTAATCTTAAACATAATTAATTCAGTGCTCAGAATTACATGTGTAGTGTAGTACTTACTGGTGTTGAAACTAATTTTCAGTACATGCAAGTTTTAAAAAGATTTAACTTGCTCTTTCAAAAACAAGCGGGCATTGTGCATACCTGTAATCCCAGCATGTGGAAGGCTGAAGGAGGAGGATCCCAATGGGTTCAAGGCCAGCCTAGGCTGCCTAGCTAGACCCTGTCTCAACAAACAAAAATCTAGATTTTCCCTATAGGAACAAGTATGCAGGTAAGAACAGACATCTAAAATGTCCGATGTACAATTTTTTCATGGAAGGCACCATAGACAGTATATTTATAATTATTTATTTACTCCACAAAGCTTTTCAAATTATTATTTATTTATTTTTTATTTTTTGGTGGAACCGGGGATTGAACTCAGACCCTTGCGCTTGCTAGGAAAGCACTTATTCTACTGAGCCATCTCCCCGGCCCCAAGCTTTTCAAATTATGTATAAACCAAATAGGATAGTATAGTGATCAGCCACAAAAAAAGACGTTTCTTGTGGAAGAAAGTGCCCCATATTCCACTTTTTTTTTTTTTTTGGTTACAGGGTTTTGCTGTTTAGTCCAGGCTGGTCTTGAACTCAGAGGGATCCATGTGCCTCAGCCTCCCAAGTGCTAGGATTGGAGGGTTGTGTCACTACTTTTGGCTTTTTTCTCCATGTTTTTTAAAAACTATAATATGTTTAGCTAGGATTGGTGGTGTAGTTATTAAGGAAGATTGATCCAACTGTAGCATTGAGGAAGGAGCCTTTGATTTGTCTTAGAATTGTCATGGCTGTTTCTTGGGTACGCGGTAGCTGAAAACTTTGTGAAGACCAAATCATAATTTTTTTACCTCTTCCTTTGTAATGGCTACCATAAAATACAATACCAAGTAGAAGCTCAGAAAATATTTGTTGAATGAATACTGAAAGCCAATTTGTTTGCTTTCTAAAAAGTTTCTTTTGGTGCATACTTTTAACAGTTTTGTGTTTGTAGGGAACATATTGGGTGCATCAAAGGTCTCCAGTCTCACTGTTTGCCTGTCATTCACTTCTTGCTTTTCACAGCAGCACCAGGCTTTTCCTTGTGCAATGAGGTATACATATGTGGAGAGCACATCGATCACGAAACCATCCTTCTGTTCTTTATCAAGTGTTGCTGTGTTAGAAAGCCTCCTAGCCTTTGCTGGAGTATTGTGCAGCCTCAGAATGTTGCTTTCATTTCAGAGCCATCCATTTATGTCTGATGAAAACCTGCATTGTGTTTATCACCAAAGTAGTTTGGTCCTTCTTCCAGCTAGTGTATCCTATCAAATCTGGTTTATGTGCCAAGGATTTTGGGGGAGGAAATAAATGGTTAAATCCTTCCAGTATAAC